CCCTAAGGTCTCAGGCCTCAGGGAGTTCACATCACAGTGGCGAGACGGCAGCGTGAACCACGGCAAGTGCAATTTCAGATTGCCATGAGCTGTGTGAAGGAAATCAACAAGGCCATGTGCTGGAGAGTAAATGGGGAAGGGGCTGCTTCTGGTGGGGTGGGAAGGAGACTGAGCAAAGAATGCTGTGACCTGGCACAGGTTTTAAAATTGTGGGTCTGGGGCAACAAAAGTGGATAGACATTTCTCCAGAGAAGATTTCCAGAGAGCCAGTAAGTACACAGAATCGTGCTTAGTGACACTCATTATCAGGAGAACGCAAGTTAGAGCCACAGTGACGTCTGAGGGTGTAGCTCAGTGATAGAGCATTGCCTAGCATGCACAGAGCCTTGGACTCAGTCCCCAGCACTGCAGAAATAGAAACCAAACAACCTGAGACCCACAGTGAGGTGTCACTTCATACCCACTAAGGAGAGACGATGGTACCAGTTGTGGGAGAGGACGTGGAAAACTCGGAACCCTCATATGTTGTGGGTGGAAATGTAAAATGTGCAGCTACTGTGCAAAAACAGTTTGGCAAACCGTCTCTTAACACATTAAGTGCAGGATTACCATATGAGCCTGTGATTCCACTCCTGGGTAAATACCCAAGAGCAGCGAAACTGTTCGTGCAGAACTGTACACAAATGTTCACAGTAGTGCTCTTCGTAATATCTAAAAGCAGCAACCCATGTGCCCATCAGTGGGTGAATAGACTAACTAAACATGGTATATCCATAAATGGAATATTATTCAGTTATAAAAATGAATGAAGTTCTAATTCATGCTGTAACACGGAGCAACCTTAAAACATGCTAAGAGAAGGAAGAACATTCATTGTGTGATTCCACTTATATGAAATGTCCCAGGTTGGCAAATCCTTAGAGACAAAGCAGGGGGCCGGGAGGAGGGAATGGGAGGTGACTGTTTAATGTGACGTAAGGTTTATTTGTGCAGTGATCAGAATATCCTAGAAATTAGACTGTGGTGATGGTTGTGAAACTCTGTAAATACACTAAAATTCATTTAGCTATTTTCTTAAAGTGGGTAAGTGTTATGATATAGGAATTATATTCTTAATAAAGCTTTAAAAAATCAGTTTGTTTAATTTTGAAAAACTTACAATCTTTGGACACATTTTTAACAGCATGGATAAATATCAGAACAATTGTACTGGATGAAAGAAGCCAGATTTTTAAAAAAGAATGATCCTCGATGTTTCCACTTCCATAAAATTCTAGAAAAATCCCATATGATCTGCAGCTGTAGGCTGTTGGGGGTTGCATGGGCCCAGGGGTGGGCGGGGCAGGTGGGAGAGATGACTAAGGGAAAAATGCTCAGGGTGCAGGGTGTGTTTATTACCCTGATAGTGGTGTCCTGTGTTTCGTGGGTGTGTACGTGTGCCACAACTTATCAAATTGTGCCCTTTTAATATGTGCAGTTTACTGCATGTCAATTATACCTCAATAAAACTGTCTAAAAATAGTCAAGTCAGGTGTGGTGAGGCGTGCTGGTAGTTCCAGGCGTCCAAGGAGGGAGGATCACTTGAACCCCGGTCAAGGTCAGCTGGGGCAGTATAGCAAAAATCCATCTCAAAAAAAGAAAAAGAAAAAAAAAAGGTCATTCTGGATGTGAGGTGGAGAATGATCTGGAAAGGTCAGAATTGGAAATTGAGGGACTAGCCAGTGTTTACAGCAGCTCACTGGGGAGAGGGTGCTTTGGCCTGGGTGCTTGACAGCCACGGAGAGAAGCTGTTGGGCTGAAACCCATGTGGGTAAGCCCAGAGGACTTGGCAATGGTTATAATACTGGGGGTGCAAGAAAGGTAGGAAAAAGTGGTGATTTTCAGGGTTTTTCTTTAGCATATGTGTATACCAATACAGTGCCATTTATTTTAGTGCTGTTAGCTAGAGGAATACCAGGGAAGGGACAGATTTGGGAGGTGGGGGGAAATCCCACGTTTACTTTGGAACTGCCAATTTTGAGATGCATGGTGTCCAGGTGGGGGGCTGTTTAATAGTCCAGAAGGACTGGAAGCTGGTGCGGGGAGAGCCTGGGAGGTGCCAGCATACAGGTGGCATTAAAGCTGCAGGCCTGGAGGATACTGGGAGCTGGTGGAGAGCCCCGAGGGAGGCCCCAGGGGGAGCCAGTGTGGCAGGAGCACCCCGGAGAGCTGGCAAAGATGGGGTGGAATGCTGGTGAGGGAGGCGAAGGGTGTGCTCGACTGCACGGGGGACTCAAGGGTGCTTGATGACAGCGACCACTTTCTATGGAGTGGAGGGATTGACCTAAGGCTGGAGTGGGTCGCAGCAGGGGCAGGAGGTGAGGACGTTTGAGGCTGCAGCAAAGCAGGGCGCTGGGTCTGTTACGCGCCAAGGGAGCGGATGCAGTAACTGGAGGGAGGATGCGGGCCAAGGTTTAGGTTTCACAGATGGTTCAGTTAGGAGTTTTGACTTGACAGTGGCGCAAAAGTGTCGCGACCCCTCGCCGGCAAGGGAAAAACACGACACAGGATTCTTCTTTCAGCAGTTTATTCAGGCCTTGATTCAAGTATCATCTTCTAGGGACCCCCTGCCGAGCGCCCAAGCACAGCCTAATAAAGCCTCCCGCATACCAATCCCAAGCTGCCACGTGGATCTTTCTCATAGGGTGGTAAGGGATTGCGCGCCAATTCTCCATAAAAGGAGTTGTTTATCACAGGCCACAGTGGAAGCCGGCGCCATCTTCTAATGGCGGCCACAGTCTATAGGAACGGCTCACCACACAAAAGCAAGATCCATCCATTCAGTAGAAACCATAGTGCAGCGGGCGTATTAAGAGTAGGGTGTGGTAGCGTGGGTGTATCAAATGCATTCTCTACTGAGGTTTTCAACTTGTCATGGGCCTGTCAGGATGTAACCTTGCGGTAAGTCAAGGAGGTTAAGGAGGAGGTTCCAGAATATGTTTGATTGAAGAGGAGGAGAGAAAGGGGGGATGTTACAGGGACAAAGTCTTTGTGAAGATGAGGCTAGAGTTCAGGGTTGAGGGGGCTGGTGAGAGGAGGGAGGGTGGGTGAGAAGTGAAGCGGGCGTCGTCGGTCGGTGAGGAGGTTAGGAACAGGGAAAAGTGAGTCTAGCCATGCTGGGAGCTTTGCCCCATGATGGCTCCAGAGGAAGACTGCCATCAGCTGGAGTGCTCAGTGGAGCTGTTTCAACAGTGGTTTGTTTTTTCCTCCAGCAACCTTCAGTTGCTTGGATGCTGGTGTTAGAAGTTGGACAGCTGGATTCTTTCAGAGTTTGGCAAAACAGATCTCAGTGGAGCAAGAGAAACACAAGCAGAGAGATCGTAGAGATGGGCCTCAGAGTGCAAGCAGTGAAGAGGAGAGGACACCGAGCTGACAGTGAGGGATCATGCAGAAATGGTGGGCCGCAGCGGGTGGTCTGTCTTGTCGAGTCTGAAGAGCCGGGCTTGGGCTGTTAGTGTATATTTTCCAGAAACATCGAGAGAGAGTGGTGACCAGAAAGGCCAAGTGTGAGACCGAGGTGTTGGCTGAAGCGAGTCTGCGCTGTAGGCAGTGATGGGCAGGAGAGAGGTTGGGTGGGGGAGGTAGCTGGTGGTGAGAAGGGTTGGGCACCACCGAAAGGCAAGCTGCTGGATTTGCACGTGTGTGTGTGTTTGTGTGTGTGCATGCGCGTGGGCGTGTGCAGGGTCACTGAGGATGATGACAGAGTAGGGGGAGAGGGGCTCGGGAGGAACGGGGAGGACAGTACCTGGCAAGTGGCAGGTGACGGGGTAGGCAGGACCACCAGGGCATGAGGCCATTTGACACAGGCTGCAGGAGTCAGGGGTTTGGAAGGAGTGATGGGGAAGAGGGAAGACACTCTCCTCACCTCCCCCTGTGGAGTTAAGGAGAAGCCAGCCCTCACTCAGGCCTGCAGGGGAGGCAGGACAGTTCCCACAGAGGCCGGAGGTGAGAGCCAAAGGGCAGAGACTGAGTGTTCGGTATCCTAGCAGGTGTGAGGGGACAGCCAGGTTGGCAGAGGGAGTGCCAAGAATCAAGGAGATTGCGGGTAATGAGAGGAAAGTGGCAGGTTTACACGGGACGCCCAGGGGACTAATTTGCCAAAGAGAAAAGAGTTGAGAAAAGTCCCCACAGCTCAGTCTGATGAGCCTGCAAGTGCAGGTGCAGGTGCCAGCGACGAATGTCAACTCTATGAGGATGTTTGGGATCAGATGGCCCAGGTGGGCCCCTTGGGGTGTAGGGAGGAGGAGGTACCTGGAAGGCCCTTCCGGGTCAGTGTCAGCCCCTGTGAATTCAGCTCAGAACAGTGACCATGGGAAGGGTGTTCCTTGTGTAGAGCCCCCGTCTGTCTTGACATGTTGACAGCTCAGTGCAGGTAGAGCTGGGCTCCCCACCCACGTAACAGGACCAGAGAACTTGCAGGTGCTCTTGGAGTTCTTCCCGGTACATTGCTTATTCTTTTGCATTGCACGAGGCCCCAGTTCTCCCTCAAGCAACTGTGGGTTCTGCATCTTTGAGCGTGTGTGTGTGCACACGTGTGCTGGGGATGGGTACTGAATCCCGAGGATGCAAAGCACGCGCACTGCCCCTGAGCTTCACTCCCAGCTCTCTCTGGCCTTTTCCTGCTGTCCCTGTGGCCACATGCCTCTCTGTTTTTCCTTATGCAGATTTCAGACGTAGCGCCTGATTGGGGTGGCTAAGCTTTTGAGTCCTGTCCAGCAAAAATTGCCAGGAGTCAGAAGCCTGTCCCCGAGCTTGTGGCTGGTGGCCAAAGTAGGGTCACTGGTGGCTTCCCGGAGCTATCAGGTGGGGCCAGAAACACAAGCTGATGTCTCTTGTGTGGATCCATGCGGATGCAGGACTCGGAGCTGACAGTAGAGGAGTCAGAGGTCAGAGGGTCCAGTCAGAGGTCAGAGGGTCCAGGTACAGGGCCATGGGCTCACTGTCCTTTCTCTTCTTGACAGCACCGATGTCTTCATCTGCACAAGCCCCATCAAGATGTTCAAGTACTGTCCTTATGAGAAGGTAAGGCGTGCGTCTCATTCTGGATGGGCCCTTTGCCTGGGTGTCAGGCAGGACTGCCAGATGGGCACGTCCCCTAGGAAGGGTGGCAGACTCTTGTGTGCTGGGTCCCCAGTCTGTGCTCCCTGCTTCTGTGCCAGTGACTCCTGCTCCCCCAGCCTTCTCCAGCACCAGCCTGAGATTCCGTACCGTGCTCTGGGTGGGGCCTCACCTCCACGTGGAGTGGGCGGGAAGGTGTCCAGCCAATGGGCAGCATCATTTGTGAGGCCTGTGAAGGAGGTGATGCGGGGGAGAACCATTATCTTGGGAGGGTTGCAGGCTCGGGACCTTTGTATAAGAAGAATCTGACAGAGGGGAAATGGCTCAAGTTTGTTTTGCTATGCACTCACTCTTTTATCCTTAATTGAAGAGATAATTAAATGAAATGGAGATTTTTCTGGAAATTGGGAAGCTGCAGGTCCTGAGCCCCGAGGAAAGCTCTGTTGCCCGGGAGGAGGGTGCTGGTGCCAGGATGGGGGTGCATGGGGAGATGCAGGGTCTGACTCTGCCCTGGTGTCTGTGCGGTATCTCCCCACAAGGAGGCTGGATTTCCAGCCCACACCTCCCCCTGTCTAGGGCCCTCGGACCCTCAGGCACAAGTTCTGAGCATCTCTATAGTCTCCCGCTCCATATCAGAAACTGCCTTGGCACAATCAGCCAATATTAAGCACCTTGTATTCCTCAGTGGGAAGGGGGCTCAGGCTTACTGAGTAGTTACTCCAGCATGATGTGACCGTTCGGTGCCCACATCCTCTCAATATTCCACTTGAGGGTAAAACATTCTTTACCCTGACCCCTCTTTGAACATTTTGGGGGCACAAGTTTAGTTAAGCCCAGGAGAGAGGTGTCCCACAATTGGTGGGCATGGATGAGGGGTGAAGGCTGGGGCCACTCTTTCCAATAGAGCAGAAACCCCCAAGAAAGGTCCTTGCACCTGCGACTTCATAGAAATTGACATTTTTCAGCCCCACACCAGACCTTCTGAGTGGCATTGTGGTCGGTGTTCCCAGCCTGCCAGGTGGCTCTGACCCACCCCTAAGCTTGAGAAGTAGGGCTGATGCTTCCACTGTGGTAGCACTGGGTGGTCAGGGTTGTTGCCAGCGCCGTCATCCCTTGGTAGCCTTGGGGGTCTGGCTCTAGGAGTCCCCACCATGAAAGTCTGCACGAGTCCAGGTCCCTTGTGTGGAGTGGCTTTGTATTTGCACATAACCCGTGCACACCCCTGTACACCGTGAACCATCTTTCACTTACTCAGTACCTGATGCAGTCGTGAATACTGTGAGGCTGTGTCGTTGGGAGTGACAGGGAAACCCAGTGCTGTTCAGTGCCGACAGTTGTTTTCCTGAATATTTCTGATCTGTGGTTGGCTGAATCCACAGATGTGAAAGACTGTAGAGGACATACTGAGTTTATAGGAGAAAGATTGCTAAATGGCTTTCATTCAGCCATCCCTGTGGATTTATAACTCATTTGGGGGTCAGCCATCCATGTCCCTCCCTCCATCTTCCCCCGGCAGCCTCAGCCCTTCCCTCTCGGGGACGCAGTCTGTCTGCCTGCCTCGGAGGGCTGGAAGTGGGGTCCATCTGATACCTTCCTCTCACCCCGTGCCGTGTTCTGTGTCCTGTGAATTCTGTTCCTCAGAACGAAGCCGACATCTGTCTGTTGCTCTCTTTCCATTGTTGCCACCTTAGAATTTCTGCCCAGGACTCCTAATGTCACTCTTAATATCACCTAACCTTCTGGCGTATGTCAGTTCTACTCAGAGCGGACGAGGACTTTCATAAGATGGACCGAATCAACTCCATCTTAATGGTTTGCCTTTGAAAAATACGTACACACACTCCTGGGCCTGGCCTTCCAGCCTGCCCGCGTCCTCCATCCACCGCGCTCCCCACCCTCCTTTCCTGGAAGCGACCCTTGGCTGGAGTGTCGGCCCCCACCAGGCGTCCTCTGCTCCGGGTCCCCCCACATTCCCCACCATATCTAAGACACGTTCTTTCTCCACCTTGTTGGGTTTCTCAGCCCTTGTTTCCTACAGGACTCTTAGCACCATTTGGATTGGCTTTGGTCCTCGTCTCTGGCTTGTAATTTGTCGTCTCCCACCAGCCTGAGATCCACAAGGGCAGTGGCAGTGACCGTCCAGCTGACTGTTGATCCCAGCCCTCAGTGCAGGGCCAGGCGCCCTGGGCACTTGGCCTTTTTTTTGTTGGATGAACAGACCCATTTGTCCAGTGGAGAGCTATCAGACGCCGTTTCCTCCGGGCCTTTAATTGGCCAGGCACCGTCCTTTCATCATCACTCCTAAGGCTCAGAGCGGCTCCCCGTGAAACAGGAAAACCTTTCTGATTTGGAGAGATGGAGGCTCAGAGAGGAAGGTGAGGCAGCCCATTTACTGGGCCTAACAATCACACAGCCAGCGGGGCCTGTTCCACATCTGTCCATCTCCCCAGCTGTGCCCTGAGCCGCCTTCTCCTGCAGAGACGAGTCCTCCTTGGAGAGGAACAGGTGTCGATTCAGACCCCTGAGTCTCAAGCGGCATCACAGCCTTCCTCTGAACAAAAGGAGGTGATGAGAAGGGTGTTGGTTTATCTCAGAGCATCAAAGGGGAGCCTCAGAAAGCAGACCTCAGGCAGCAGGGGCCCAAACCTGCAGACAGGCCGCCCAGGACAGGTGCTTCCAGACGCTGGAGCACCTGTGGACACTGGGGAGCAAAAACCAAGAGGGGAGCCAGTGGAGTTGGAAGGTCTTGGGAGCATCCTGATTGTCCTATTAGGTTGTCTCTGATAGCAGAGGGGCAGCGTCCCAGAGAAAAGCAGGGGGGGTCGGTGCCAGAAAAAGGGGCACAGTGATGGCAGATGTATGTCCTGTCCCAAATACACAAGAGAAAAAGCTCCCAAAACCCACATCTAACAGTGTCCCTATCTCCCGCCACCTAGAGATGGGGACGCTGTTATCATTTTAATATTTCTTTCAAGTTTTACTTTTATGCCTATAAATATAATTGTATATTTTAATAAAACCTAAATCTGTTCTAACTTTACATTCCTTTTCTGCTTAGTATTATAATTTTAGCTTTTTCAATGCCATCAAACGCTGTTCTTCAGAAACACGATTGTTCATGTCTAAAGATGCCTTGTAAATAAGCTTTGTATTATTGTACTTTTTTTTGGGGGGGAGGTGCTGGGGATTGAACCCAGGGCCTTATGCATGTGAGGCAAGCACTCTACCCACTGAGCTATATACCCAGCCCTATTATTGTGCTCTTAAGAGTAAATTACAAGAAGTAGTGTGAGCACATCAACAAGGAGGGGCAGGGCTCTGGTGTGTCTTTCGCAGCAGTTCTGTTCCCACTGCACCAGCAGCAGGCAGAGCCCTCCCACTTCCCACCTGGGCGGGCGCAGGCTGGACCACACAGGGTCAGTTGGTTAAGAGGAAATGGGATGATGGACGAAGATAAGAAGGTAGAAAAATGCGCAGCATGTTTGAGGAACTCTAGGTGAATTTTGTCAGCCCAGCAGCTAGAGGGACTGGCTAGAGGGACAAGGCGGGTTGGGGCCAGGCTAAGTGCTTTAACTTACCCAGGCTCCAACCATCTGAGATGAAAATAGCTTCTACCACCTACTTGTCCCCTGTGTCCCTAGATGGACCCTTCTCCTTGTGGCTGGCTGTGGCTGAAGGAGATGTGAGTGACTGATTCCTCTGTACCATGCCTGGGGCTGGCATTAAAGGGGCTACAGGCTGGTTCAGGACATGTGTGCTCAGGACGGATGTATGTAGCACCTTCTTGGCAGCCCTGGTCTGGGCTCAGACCTCCCACCAGTCACGGACGGTGGCCTTGTCCACTGCAGCAGGATCGCCTTTAGCATCATATGTGTGAATATTTCTCCACGATCGATTTCCTCTGGAGTCATCATCACAAGGGGGAAAACTAACTGCCGTGAGTTCCCTGGGAGTCACAGAGAGGCTACATTCAGGCCATCAGCAGATAACAGCAGAGGGTGCTGAGGTGGCAGTCTGCACCCGCCTTCCCTGTAACCACCAGTGTCACCTTCAGAGTACCCCGCAGAGCAGGGGCTGTTCTCATCCCTGTTGAGATGAGGAAGCTGAGGCCCGTGGCCAAGGTCAGCAGCAGGAAGGCAGCGAGCTGGGTGCAGAGCCAGAGCTCTGCCCTCCACCCCACCCCACCGTGTCACCCACCTTCTTGAGCTCTGTCCCCCGTGTCACCCACCTTCTTGAGCTCCACTGAACTGGAACTGAAGTAGCATGATTTTCCTCCCCTCCACGGCAAGCGCCTTGTGCATAGCCATGACATTTGATGCTGACTTTTTCTAGCTCAACAAGGGAAGTAATCACACGCCAAATTAAGAAAGGTGCTGGGGTGTGAAGCAGAGCGTGTTCTTGTCATTGGAAGGTCGGTTCCCAGATGATGTGTCTGCCGGAATCTACTCTGGTTTTAAGAACAAACGTTTGGTGGAGTTCTTGCCTTGCACATGCAAGGCCCTGGGTTCGAGCCCCAGCACCACAACTAAACAAATAAGTTAAATACTCCACATAATTAGATCTCTTCATTTAACCTCAAAATAGAGATTTAGGCCACTTTTTGAACTTAGGGAGATAATGATTGGGCCTGGGGTGTACTCTGTGGGAGCATGTTTGATGAGCATCAAGAGGCCCTGGGTTCCATCCCCAGCACCACACACAGTGAAAGACATAAATTAAATGACATTTTAAACCACATTGTCCAGCTGCTCCCAGCACGTGGGCCTCTGGTAAGACTTACACTGAAAGGCTCAGCACTTTCTCTTGCCGTGCTGTGACAACCACATTGCTTGCATTCCAGAAGCTTCGCCTGGTGAGGCTGCCCCACCCTCCACCCCAATAGCCTCACATGGGAGCTCATGGTGTGTTTTTTTAGTCCACACCAGCTCTCTTGTCCATTTGTTTGTTTTTTTTTTTTTTTTTTT